CAAAAGTAAATACTAGTATAATATTTATACAAAGTATAACACTTATGGTAAAGATTTGAACAAACATTAAAACCCAAGTAAAATAAATAATAGTAGCCTAATGCTTACCTTAGCAAACAACGCTAATTAGCTTCCCAACACGTCTGACAGCTGCCGTCAGTACACAAGGCGGGAAAAATATAAATCTGATACGTTTATTTTAAATGATTCTTAAACCTTCTTAAGTTTTATTTATTAATTTTTTTTAAACATTCAGAATATTCAAGATTTTTTTTTCAGTCTATCAGAATGGTTAAACGCTTTTATTTTACAATTCTCAGGTAAACGTTGCTAGAGTAATGCAAAATACTGCATTGGTAGCACAATGGCGCCATCAACTGTCCAGCTTGTATTTCACTCCCAATCACATCTAGTGAGGTGGTTCTACCTTTTAAATTCCATTGTCGACAACACTTTTCAATGCATTGTTTGAGTAAATTAAAACTAAAATAATTATGATTAAAACGATTGAATTTAATAATTTCAGGAGCTGAATGTTCTTCAAGGTTCCCACTTTTTAACCTGTAAAGTTATGTCTTCCAGTTTGTAATTTACTAGATAAGCAGAACTAATAATATGGTTTTTAAAAATATTTTTTGCTCAAAATCTAAAGTTTGTTTTTGAACTGCAATGTAAATCATTTTTGGAACCAGGTTTTTAAAAGAGCCATTTTTCCTTAGTGTGAAGAACATTTCAGAGTCAGTCATTTTAAAGCTGCAGTCCGTAACTTTTTTTGGTTAAAAATTATCCGAAATCAATATTTGAGCAAGTACATAACCAGCCAGTGTTCGAAACTATCGCCTTACTTCAGCCTGATTCACAACGGTCAGCTTATAATAATGTTTTCTAATTTGAGTGTTACGGGTAGGTTTTCGCGGGAAATTCGAGCATGCCGCTGCGTCATTACGTCACTTCTGTGGCCGATCGTTTATAGCCTTTTCTCACAGCAGCTGGAATAATTAAATGTATCATTTTGATGGCGGATTGTAATCCAGAAAGGATTATGTTTATGAAACACATGTGAATGAAATTAAATTATATTCCAGTTTTAAAGGGGTCATATAACGTTGCTAAAAAGAACATTATTTGGTGTATTTGGTGTAATGCAATGTGTTTATGCGGTTTAAGGTTCAAAAAACACATTTTCCATAGAATGCACATTATTGTTTCTCCTCTATGCCCCGCCTTTCTGAAATGCATCGATTTTTACAAAACTCATCGTTCTGAAAAAGTGAGGTGTGCTCTGACTGGCCAGCTATCCAGTGCATTGTGATTGGCCGAATACCTCAAGCGGGTGACGAAAATGTTACGCCCCTTACCATACTGTGATGCCGTCTCCCAGCAGAACTAGACAAAACCAATAAAATCCATTACAAATGAGGCATTTGTTGCATCCAGTGGGGACATAATTACTGATTATAATGACTTATACTGTCTTTTTACGCTTTGCGTATCGCACTGTG